ACCTGTGGTTTCTGGTAACAAAGTAACTCACACTGTTAATACTGCTGTTTTGTGTTGCCCACTTTCACAATGGGAGGCAATGCTCAATTTCAGTTATAGGTTAGGGAAAAGATATAATTTTCCCCCCATCCAAGTTCAGACTCTAAGACAGCCAATCATCTTTGGCTGTGACCAAAGTAAACAACTAGGAAACAAAGCTCAGTCTAAAGTACTTTGAGCCCTGACCAGGTAGCTCAGTTGGTTATAGTATTGTCCTGATACACCATGGTTGCTGATTCGATCCCCAGTCAGGACACATACAAGAAACAACCACAGAGTGCATGGATTGGTGGAATAACAAGTCAATGCCCACCCCCCACCTCTCTCTCAACTCATTAAAAAATTTTACTTTGAGCCCTAGCTGGTTTGGCTCAGTGGATAGAGCGTTGGCCTGCGGACTGAAGGGTCTCAGGTTCAATTCTGGTCAAGGGCACATGCCTGGGTTGCGGGCTCAATCCCCAGTAGGGGGCGTGCAGGAGGCAGCCAATCAATGATTCTCTCTCTGATGTTTCTCTCTCCCCCTCTCCTTTCTGCTCTGAAATCAATAAAAACGTATTTTTTAAAAAATTTTACTTTGAGATATTAGGAAAGTTTATAAATTTCTATCACCTTTTATCCCCTCTGTGCCCTCTACAACCTCCATCCAATTTTTTTGGCTTATTAAAGTCTTACAACATAATGGGGGGGGGGGGGCGCTCCAATGATAGAAAACTACAGAAATAAAGTACATTCAAACTTCAATCAAGGGCTTTACAAATAAATGCTTTTGTGAAATTTATGTATTTAAATTTTTCTGCTGAAAGGAAAGTGACTCCCTAAATAACCATGACAGAGAAAGAAAGAAACATATAGCAACACAGGACTGTACACAAGAAAGTTCATGAAGCACCAGTTCTCATCAAATACCATGAATAGTTTTGCAAAGATAGTAGGTGTATAAGGACTTCGAAACTAGACTGCCATTAATCCCATGTTTACTCATTTGAAATGCATCGCTAGGCCAGCCCAGTATTCGACCAATGAACCTGGAGTTTGATTCCCAGTCAGGGCACATGACCGGGTTGTGGGCTCAATCTTCTGTGGGGGACATGCAAGGGGGAGGGGGTGGTAGCAGCTGATCGAGGATTCTCTCTCATCGTTGATGTTTCTATCTCTCTATCCCTCTATCTTCCTCTCTCTGAAATCACTAAAAACATATTAGAAAAAAGAAAAAAATGCACTGCTAGGATTCTATTCACCAAAGCTGTAACAATTAAGGGGGTTAGAGAGTGATTAATTTCCTAGTCAGTCTTGCAGACAGAATAGAAACTTGTTTCTATAGATAAAACCAAACTATATTTTGTCTACTATAAAATGTTAGTTTTAAACTGTTTTTCCTTGTTAATCCTCACCTGAAGATTATTTTTTCCATTGCTTTTCTGAAAGAGTGAAAGGGAGGAAGGGGGAGAGAGGGGAAGAGAGAGAGAGAAAGAGAGAGAAACATCGAAGTGAGAGAGACACATAGACTGGCTGCCTCCCGCACGAGTCCCAATCCGGGGACAGGGAGTGAACCCGAAACCCAAGTATGTGCCCTTGATTGGGAATCGAACCATGAACCTTCAGTGTGGGGGTCAATGCTCTAACTACTGAATGCACCAGCCAAGACAATTTTAAACAGTTTTAAAGGACTTAGAGAATGTCACAGCTTCACAATCACAAGGTTTTACAGATTATAAAAGGAACTTATTACTTCCAACAGGATATTGAACATTCTGAATCTACGTGACATCTCAAAATATACTTTGAAGTCAATATAATTATAGAGGAAAAGAGGACATCTTGATAAAAGGGAGGCTGACCCCAGGGATAACGGATATGCTCTGAATGCCAAAGAAAATTTCTATGCACTTGTTTTAATCACAATATCATGACCAAATCTTTTAGCTATTTATATCAATTCTACTTTATCCCTTGTATTAACTAAGAATTGTATCTCAGTATTTCAACTATTTGTTGAACATGTACTCTGAAAAAGGCAATGTACTAGCTCTGCAGTGTGCCAAGACCTGGTCCTGTTGTTACAGGGTAGTATTGAAACGCCCATCATTAAAGTTCATTCTGGTTTTCATAAATCAACATCATCAAATTCTTAATACAATGTTTCTCCCACTTATCCCTAGTTAGACACTCTCACAGTCCAAGTCTTCCTTCTCCAAGAACTAAAATAGCCTCCTAATCAGAATCTGTTTTTCTATTCTATGCCCTTTTTTTTCTGATTTTTTAAAATATATTTTTCATTGATTTCAGAGAGGACAGGAGAGGGAAAGAGAGACAGAAACACCAATGATGAGAGAGAATCATTGATGGACTTCGTCGGGATCGAGCCCACAACCCAACATGTGCCCTGACAGGGAATCGAATTGTGACCTCCTGATTCATAGGTCGACGCTCAACCACTGAGTCACGCCAATTGGGCCAGATACCTTTTCTAAAGCACAGATCTCAACTAGCCATCTCCCTTCTCAAAATCCCTCAACAGTTCATCTCTGCATAAAGAATAAAACACAAAATCATTAGTGTGGTTAAGTCATTCTAAATTATCTGCTATTCTCAAAACATTCTTCCACCCACTTGTATCTCTTCAAGTAGCTCCTTCCACCCACAATGTTCCGATGTCTAGTCTAAAACTCCTTTTTCTTTTTGCTAAAATCCTACACATCTTTCATAGCCCTAAATCAGAAAAATTTCCAGACCTAAGTATGATTCAGGCAACTGACAGAAGAGGAAATATCCTTTATTTTAATTTAGTTCTTTAGTCCCCATGTAGATTTTCTAAGCTCATCCTGCCTTTGCCTTTGTGGCAGTTATCTTTCTGACTATAAATATTAAGAGGTATATAACTATTCTTTTGATTATGTAAACAGGACATGTCAAATTCATCGTATCACCTGTGGGTTCAAACTTTTGAGCCTACAATGCTAAGGGCCAAATCCCAAAACACTGTAACTTCCCCACCCAAGTACAATGCCTTGTGTATAATGTTTCTCCTCTAACTTCAATACCTCCATAATATGTGGGCTTTTCAATAAATTTCACCCAATGGAATGCAGTGGCATCCCTTTAATGAGATAGGTTTGGGAAAAATAACTAAAACTTAAGTGTCTTAGACAATTCTAGGTAGGAGAAAATGAGGCATAGTAAGATTTTATAATCAGTTTATAGAGCTCAAAAGAAGCTCGTCAATCATTTCTCTTGATAATACACCAAATGAAATCGAAAAGAAGTTGAGGATTCTTATCCATGTCACAGAGCTACAAAGCTAGAGCCAGAATCTAACTCTCCTGATTTCATAAACTAAGAGCATGCTTCATTGTAATATGCTCTATCTTCAAAAATGCTTTAATTAGCTATAGATAAATGTATAAAATGTTTTCATTTATTATTTTGAATTAGAACATTTAGGAGGCCTAAAAGGAGGCATTCATCAATTACATGATCATTTACCTTTTTTTTCCCAGAGATACAAGGAAAAGGGAGAGATAGAAACATCAATGATGAGAATCATGGATCGGCTGCCCCCAGTACGCCCCCACCCCCACCCCACTAGAGATCGAGCCCTGCCCTAACCAGGAATCGAACCATGACCACCAGGTTCATAGGTTAACATTCAACCACTGATCCATACCGGCTGGCTGGGCATTTACTTATCTTAAATTAATTCTAAGCAAGCAATACTAAAAGAAAAATAATTAATCTGAGCATTTAATCGGGTCAAATAATCTGTATCCTGTAAATTTAAAATGCACACCATCAAAGCATGGCACAGACTGGGGGTTCACAAAGGGAAGAGGGGAGGGAGGTAGGCAGAAAATAACAAAAGAATTTATATGCATAATCCATGGACACAGATAGTAGTGTGCAGGCCTGGGGTGCGGTGAGAACCCAGTGGAGGGGGGCAATGGAGGACATCTGTAATACCATCAACAATAAAGATAAATACAATTTTTAAAATCAATATAAAATACACACCATCTAAATTTAAAACTAGGATATCTAGGATTAACGGGTTAAATAACAATACTAGAAATGGGAAATGCTCAAAGACTTTCAACATTTGAAGTAGTAATAGTAATAGCTAGCAATTATTAAAGACAGTGTCTAACACGTATGGGTATCAAGCTAAGCATTTTACATACTTTCTTTTTTCATTTTCATCTTCACAGTAACTTTATAAAGCATGGTCTTTTAAAAGATGAGAAAGCTAAGGCCTAGACAGCTTAAATAACTTGTCCAAGATTATGAAAGTAGCAAACTATACTGTCTACCCAGACCTGTGTTTTTAAAACCCAAATACCTAACTTCTAAGCTATTTCCTGTTAAGACTACCTATATTATTTTCATCTTTAAAATAAAATGCCTTTGTAAAAAAAACTTCCAACTAATGAAGTCAGTTTAGTGAGCAGCCAAGTTACAACCTGCATTTACAGAAAAGCTTTTCTACTTGCATTTATAAATTGGCTATCTCCCTATGTTAAAATTAGTTAAAATGTATTCTAAAATTGATTTAGTCATTGATAACAAATGTCAACCATAATACTTCACCAATACACCTTTAACAAAATAGTTTTTTACAAATTTTGAACCAGAATAACAGAAGTAGGTTAATATTATATACCTAGAAAATTAAAAACTTAAAAGAAATAATTTTCAGTGGCACCAGATCTGCTTCACACAGCTAACCTTGCCACTTTTCTTCCTTTTTGGCAGTTTTAATATTGAGCATCTGGAGGAGGAAACGGTATTTGCAAATCATCACTTAGCTTCGGGTGCATCAGTTTCTTCACTCATTCTATACATGATTCAAGATTACTCTCTTTTAAAAATATTAATTATTATTCTAAAAATCATTACCATTGATCATCGAGAATTTATGACAATTTACTCAACAGCTCGTCTGTTATAACAAAAGGCTATTAACCTACCTGTCACTGCTGGTACTACTGCTGCTGCTGATTGAATCACTACTGGAGGATCTACTCCTAGAGCCGCTGCCGCTAGGGGACCTTGTGAGTCTGCTAGCCAGCCTCTGAGGAGACTGATTTCTAGATTGGGATGAATGCGGTGACCGACTCCTGCTGTGCTGGTAATTCCGCTCAGGCCTTCTGCCTCGTACCTCCCGGGTAATATCATCCCTGTAGATATCCCTGTGTACCACACTGGGCAGCGTAAACTGCTCCCGAGCCCTAGGTTCATATCGGGGGTCATGAGCATCAAAACGGTTTGGACTTCGACTCCGAGAAGAATAATAGAGCCCATGTTGTAAAGTTCGTTCGCGAGGATCTCTATAGTAATCCTGATCGTAATGTCTTGTCCGATCAAATCCTCCCGTCCCCCGTTCATGGTGTCCATAGGCACTATGTTCATAAGCACGCTCCCTGTTATCTGAAGCCCTGCATTTTAGGAGGGGGAAAAATATTTAATCAATCAGAAAGGGACAAGCAAAACTAAAAATAAGTCATGCAAAAATTCACTTCAGCATTGTCTGTCTTTACAACTGATCATTTTCTAAACAGCATTAACCTACTTATTAAACAAATACTAACAAGCTTAACATTTTACTTGACTCCAAAACTTATTTGCACAGCTGAGTAATCATTGTTTTAATTGTATATTGATTGGGCTTTCATGACTAGTGTTCTGCAAGTCAGTTACTCTTTTTATTAGGGATTTTCTGGCTTATATATAGAAATAGACATATGCTATCTCCTTTTCATTTTAAGTTTAATGGAACAAGAAGAAACTGTCATTTTAATATGAAAGTTTTCTATACTTTCATCTCATTAAAATATATACCAAACTTTTATTTACTATGTAAACGTTTTTTAGGCAAAATTTCCATGACACATTTTCAACACAGTCATGAAAGCCCTATTGTGATGTATGTCCCAGCTGTAGGAGGGCATTCTCAAAGAAGTCCAGAAAAAACTTCAACTATAACTTTTTCTCATTAACTTTCGACTTCTTAGGTAATTATAAAAATTACAAGATTATGCAAACTGCTGTGCCCAATCACATTTAATAATAAAAGTGGAATCTTAAAAAGAAATACTTAGGATATTAAAATATTGGATTGCCACATACTATTCTATGGTAAATTTAATTAATTAAAGAATAAAGGTTATTTTACCTCCTTGTGCTATCAAATTCCACATAATTTTTAAAACGTCTATTCCACGATTCAATTTGTTAATATAAGTACTTAATGGTTACAGGAAATATGTTCACTTAGGTTTTAGCTATACTCAATTTGCCTATGATGAAATTAGGCAACTTTTGGAATTTTAAGAGTCTCTAAGGTTACTTATAGCAATAGTTTAACTTAAAAAAAAATTTTCTGTAGAACATATCTGTCAACCTAACAGTGCAAAAATTGTTGCATGTACAATTATACACATGCAATTAAGTGTTAGTACTTAAAACTAAGTCTAATTCTACAAAGAAATATTATATTCTCTACTTTGGTAGGAAACCAGAACTCATTTCCTGAGTCTCTAAAAAGACCATTTCACTTGAATTTCAACTTAAGACTGAGTTTCTTCTCAATGTTATATTTGGAACTACCTTCTATCAAAAGAGATTAGGAATCATGAAAAATGTAGAAGAATTAGAATCTCTCAAATGAAGAATATCTGGCAAAAATCTTATAATACTATGTCCCCACTACATGCCTAGATTCCAAATTCCTCCACTAATCTTCATCTCATCCACCATTTCACTTAGTAACAAATATACCTTCCTATGCTGCATTTGTTTTTTGCAGCCATATGAAAAGCAACTGGCATGACAAAAAATTCAATATCTTTCCTACTTCAATGATTTTTTCCTTTTTAATTCACTACATTTCTGGAACTTGAATAGATATTTCAATGTCTAACAAACAAGAGAGTTTCCTTTCAGACTTAAGAGAAAGTTTAATAAATAATTCTATTAGTACCCTATCAAATATTAATCAGTGAGAGCTGTTATTAATTACATAATAAGCAATAGTTCTACGAGAATTACTGCTACAGCTGATAGTTTATAACTATGCAAAGTTCTTATCCATTAGGAAGATACAGAAGGCAGGCACAAGAGCTAGCAGAGCTGAAATCTAATAGCTATTCTTTAATTCATCTATTAGTACTAAATACTTCTAGAGTTAGTGGGGGGAAAAGAGAGAGTTTGACTTGGGTTAGGAGAGGGGCTAATATACACAGGTCAGGACATACCAACCTTTTCCAAGTGTGGAAACACGACCTATAATCCCAATTAAATCTAGGGAGAGAATTGTGAACATAACTTCCCCAATTTTGGCCCCTCTTACGGGGGTAATCCACCTTCTTAATGGGCAAGGGTGTCAAATGATATTTAGATGAACCACAAGGAAAAAAAAAATCTTAGTGATCAGATAAAATAATTCCACTGGAAGCAAGTTGTCCCAGACAAACTGTAACTCTCAAACCCCCAGACTTCTTTCTTGAGATAGTAGACAATTATAAATTGATCCACATTCATAAAAATTTCCAGCCCTATGTATGAATCAGGCAGCTGACAGAAGAGGAAATGATTCCACCAAATGAGGAAGGCAGAGTTGCTTGCCAATAGTTCACCTTTGTAGCCATCCAGCACAGTCAATTTTGATTATTGCAGTATCCACAATTGATCATCACCATGTGTTCAAACTAAAGTACCTTTAATTGGGCAGCAACTTGCTTCAGAAAGGAGATAGTAATCCTCTTCTCCTGGGCTAATGGAATTTTGACTGCATGACATCCCATAGACTCCAGAAATTAGGAAACAATGGCTATATTCCAGGATTTAAGAAGGTCCATCATCTCAACTTGCCCCATTCCATCCAGGAGTATAATTCCAACATGGAAATTGTGTAGATCCAAAATGGGAAAATCAAACATTGCCTTCATTCTTCTTCCTCCAAGTTACACATTTCCAGGTTAAAGTATTGTTTGTAGAATCCAAGGGGTTGAATCATTATGATGTGCTAGGTTTTTTGATGACAATCCAATTCATTTGTACACTTTATGTAGTGAAAATTGAGAAGCAGATATTAACTTCTAAAAGAATCTGTAGGCTCTAATATTCCAGAAATATTCCATATAGTATAACCACAAAATCTGTAGCCAAATAGCTCCGTCAGGTAAAAGGAATATATCCAAGGAAGGCCTTATCATCATCCAAGAGAAGAAATAATTAAATCTAGAAGACAGGTAACTCCAAAAATGCTGCCATATAAAATCTTCCACCACTTCATATCTCAGGAGTAGATATCCAACCAGCTGCAGGAAATATCCTCTACGATTCCATAATACCAGCCACTGGGATAGAAATTACTTCCGTTTCCAACCCAAAATAGGAAACATTGAAAATGCCCAAAACTTTAAATCCATCTGGGGCCCCTAAATATGAGTTTCTGTTTCTCACCATATCAAATACAAAATACCTGCCTACAGAAACCTTGGAACTTACCCATCAAGTCTCCGCTCATAACGTCCTTCTCGTGCATGAAGTGATGGTGGAGGGCCATAAGCAGGCCCTCCACCACCTCCTCTGAACCCAGAAACCTCTCTACTACGAGATGTTATGGAAACTGTATCATCCAATCCCCGAGCAGCACTTGGAATGGTGCCTGGTTCATTATAATCCGTGCGTAGGTCTCTATCTCCCATTTTGTTGACCGAGTTGTGAGCTTTCTGTGCACTTTTGATGTCCACAAAATCCACAAAGGCAGCCACTCCTCCTTCAGATCCCCTCTTAGGGAGAATTTTGACACTTTCCACGCGGCCATATCTAGAAAAAAAATAAACAACATTATTGTTGCACATCAATAATTTTCCAAAAATGGGTTTTTTAATTTGTTTCTTACTTTTAGAAAATATATATTATGTATGTATGGGGAAGGGGTTACAAAGTGACTTTTTTTTTTAATTTCAGAGAGAGGAAGTTGAAAGAGAAACATCAATGATGAGAGAATCATTGATCAGCTGCTTCCTGCGTGCCCCACTGGGGATCAAGCCCACAACCCAGGCATGTGCCCAGACCTGACTGAGAATCAAACCTTGATATCCTGGTTCATGGGTCGATGCTCAACCACTGAGCCACACCAGCCGGACCAAAGTGACTTTTTAAATGGCTTTTACACTCACATTTTTCTTTCTTGGGGAAAATATTTCGAAATGTTTTTACCACATTATTTTATTAGTCTCACTCCTTAAATATAGTATTTACTAAACTACCTTTTACCTTTCTAGAACAGTTAGCTGAAACATATCTCTCAGAAGTTTTTAGGAAGTTGTACATTCTACAAAGGGATATTGGACCTAACATTGACCAAAGTAACTTAGAAACCTTTGAAGATTTTTATTAAAAACTGTAGCCCTCGCCGGTTTGTTGGCCTGGGGACCAAAGGGTCCCGGGGTTCGATTCTGGTCAAGGGCATGTACCCCGGTTGCAGGCTCCTCCCAGGGCGTGCAGGAGGCAACCAATCGATGTGTTTCTCTCACGTCAATATTTCACTCCGTCTTTCCCTCTCTCTTCCACTCTCCCTAAAAATCAATGGAAAAACATCCCCGGGTGAGGATTAACAACAACAAACAAAAAAAACTAACCTGTAACTAAAAATAGTTATTCTACAGATTTCATTTTAACTTAATTCATTAAGTTAAAATGATCTTACTGAAAAGTGAGGTGATTTCAAATATTCCTTACTTAAAGGCAAAATAACCCAAATATTTTATGTCTATTTACAAATGACAATCTAATTCTGTTAACGTAGTTTTTTGCTATTTAATTTTCTTTTCCAAAGGGTTAAAAGAAAACTGCTAAGATTTATAATTTAGGTATAATTATTTCATATAAGTTAATAAGTCTAAGAAAATCTTTGGATTAACCGTATGTTCTCATTCTTATTGCCAAAAACTGTTTACTATGTGTGTAAAGAAAAATTTTAGGGCACCTTTTATATTTTGAAGCATATATGTTCTGAAAGAAATATAATTATTTGGAATAAAAAATTCATGAAAATTCTACAAATTTCAAGAGTGAATTATATTTTATGTACTTGCAATTTGGCCTTTTAGAAAGGCAGGTACAACACTTTTATTATCTTTTAAATATATTTTTATTGATTTCAGAGAGAAAGGAGAGAGACAGACAGACAGAAACACCAATGATGAAAGAAAATCACTGATCGGCTGCCTCCTGCACAACTCTGACTGGGGACTGAGCCCGCAATTCCATGTGCCGAGACCTGGAATTGAACTGTTACCTCCTGGTTCATAGGTTGACACTCAACCACTGAGCCACGCCAATCTAGCAGGTATAGCACTATTAAGTACAGAATGCTTATTCCTGGACAATTGAAGAGCATGATTTTACACTTCCTCTGAAAAAGCTGACAACATTATCAGAAAGCAGAACTTTTCTTTTTATATCTTCTCGTATAGTTTAAATTATTTTCTCTCATAGGGAAAATACAATCATCAAATCCAGTTTCAAAAGGCAACTGAACTAGAAGGAACAAAATTATTTGGTATAAATGAATTGATAAAAGAATCTTTTTAACTTGGGGGTTGGGGGATGACAGAAATTGAAATAGTTCATTCCATACAAACATTAAAAATACCTTCCAATGTATCTGACAAAGGATCTGTATCTAGAATACAAGAAATCTTACAGCCACCTATTTTTTTTAAATGGGCAAAACACTTCACCAAAGATATACAGATGGCAGATAAAGCACAGGAAGATGCTCAAAATCATTAGCTGTTAGGGAAATGCAAATCAAAACCAAGATGACATACCACTTCACAGCCACTAGAATAGCTAGTATTTAGAGAAAAAGAGAAAACAAAGAAAAGAATAAGTGTTAGCAAGGATGTGGAGAAATCTGAAACCTTGTGGAACTGTAAAAATGGTACAGCCGCTGTGGAAAGGGTTGGCATTTTCTCAAAAAATTAAGCATAGAATTACCATATGACCCAGCAATTCTAATCATAGGCATATGCCCAAAAGAACTGCAAACTGGGACTCAAACACATATATGTAGCACCAAGTTCGTGGCAGCATTAGTCACAATTTCACAATTGCCAAAAGATGCAAACCCAAAGTGTCCATTAACAGATGAATGTATAAAACAAAATGTGGTATATACATAAATAGAATATTATATTAAGACATAAAAAGAAGGTGGGAATGCAGACTGGTGCAGCCACTATGGAAGACAGTATGGAGTTTCCTTAAAAAACTGAAAATGGAACTCCCATTTGACCCTGTGATCCCACTTCTAGGAATATATCCCAAGAAACCAGAAACACCAATCAGAAAGGATATATGCACCCCTATGTTCATAGCAGCACAATTCACCATAGCTAAGATCTGGAAACAGCCTAAGTGCCCATCAGTAGATGAATGGATTAGAAAACTGTGGTACATCTACACGATGGAATACTATGCTGCTCTAAAAAGGAAGGAACTCTTACCATTTGCAACGTCATGGATGGAACTGGAGAGCATTACGCTAAGTGAAATAAGCCAGTCAATGAAGGAAAAATACCACATGATCTCACTCATTCATGGATAATAGAGACCATTATAAATTTTTGAACAATAATAGATACAGAGGCAGAGCTGCCTCAAACAGATTGTCAAACTGCAGCGGGAAGGCCGGGGAGGGTTGGGGGGCAGGAGGTAGGGGGGTAAGAGATCAACTAAAGGACTTGTATGCATGCATATAAGCATAACCAATGGACATAAGACACTGGGGGATAGGGGAGGCTAGGGGACTGTCTAGGGCGGGGGGATAAAATGGACACATATGTAATACCCTTTGTAATACTTTAAGCAATAAATTTAAAAAAAAAAAAAAAAGACATAAAAAGAAATGAAGTTTTGCCCATCTGGTGTGGCTCAGTGGTTGAGCATCAACCTATGAACCAGTAGGTCAGGGTTCAATCCCCAGTCAGGGCATATGCCCAAGTTGCAGGCTCGATCCCCAGTGTGGGGCATGCAGGAAGCAGCTGATCAATGATTCTCTCTCATCATTAATGTTTCTATCTCTCTCCCCCTCCCTTCCTCTCTGAAATCAGAAATGAAGTTTTGATACATGCTACAACATAGATAAACCTTCTGGACAAAGCCATGGTAGCAGGACCGAGACAGAGGAGATTAGGGGCGATCAGGCCGGCAGGGGAGGGCAATTGGGGACGAGCAGGATAGCGGGGAGGGGCAGTTGGGGGGCGAGAAGGCTGACGGGGTGGGGGGGCCAGTTGGGGGAGAGCAGGCCGGCAGGCAGAGTGGTTAGGGGTGATCAGGCAGGCAGGCAGGTGAGCAGTTAGGAGCCAGTGGGCCTAAACCGGCAGTCGAACATCCCCCGGGAGGGTCCCAGATTGGAGAGGGTGCAGGCCGGGCTGAGGGGACCCCCTCCCTAATCGCCTCTGTCATGGTCCCACTACCATGGCTTTGTCCAGAAGGATGTCTAGAAGGTCTCCCAGTCTAATTAGCATATTACCTTTTATTAGTATAAACTATAGGCCCAGCGCATGATTAAATCATGCGCATGTAGAGTCCCCTAGGCCTAGCCTGCCTTCGGGGCCATGTCCGCCGCCCCACAAACGCTGCCAATACCTCGCACACTCCACGGACACTGTCGGAACCCACCCTGCCCACCATGAGAGCCGCTGCTCATTTGGTCGTGATGCCGTTATGGCGTCACGACCACCGGCCTTTTATGATATAGACAAGATTACTAAAATTCTGAGACACACCAAAAAATATATTTTTTGCCAATCTGACAAAAAAAACAAACACCAAGGTATACTTTTGATTCATTCACACCAGACCGCTACTGTTGTGGTGGCTGTTGTCATTTTTTTGAAAATATATAATCTAAGCAAAAAGAGATCAGGGCCCCTGACTAGTCAGGTATTACATGTTTTAAAAATTCTTGCACCACAGCACACCAGTTGGAAATCACTAATCTAGAATGACAATGACGAATTTAAAATTTTAATTGTTAGCATGACAATGATAAATTAAAAGTTAATGATTTCATTTTATATAAAGACAAATATCAAAAATTGATATAAACCCATGGAAAACTGGAGGAAACATTTGCAAATTATGTAATGATAAGAAACTTTTACAATCAACAATGAAAAAGACATAATGCAATTTAAAAATGAGCAAAGGATATCATCTAGCCAGTATGGCTCATGGTGAGCATTGACCTATGAACCAGGAGGTCACGGTTTGACTCCCAATCAGGGCACATGCCCAGGTTGCAGGCTCCATCCCTAGTGTGGGGCATGCAGGAGTCAACCAATCAATGATACTATCTCATCATTGATTTTTCAATTTCTTTCTCCCTCTCCCTTCCTCTCTGAAATAAGTTAAAAAAATATCCTATCTAATAAAAGAGAAACATGGTAATTGGCGTACAACCACTACCCTTCCCACTGGCTAATCAGGGCAATATGCAAATTAACTGCCAGCCAAGATGGCGGCCGGCAGCCAGGCAGCGTGAAACTAACATGAGGCTTGCTTGCTTCAGTGACAAAGGACTCCAACGTTCCCTGCCTGCCTTGCCGGCCTCTGAGCTGCAACTCTAAGCAACTATGTAACAAATACAGAAGCTAAACAAAACCCCAGAAACCTGTTTTAGTCCGCTGGGCTTCAGCCAGCAGGATCGCAACATTGTAAGCAAAGGCCAGAATCCACCCCGCTTCAGCCAGCAGGATCGCAACATTGTAAGCAAAGGCCAGAAACCTACTTTCAGCAGCGGAAGCCTAAGA